GTCCCAGGGGTTGTGGTGCAGGTGCAGCTCCACCAGGTAGCGCAGCGGGGCGAACAGGTCGTGGGGCAGGGACGACAGGTTGTTGTGGGCCAGGTTGAGCTCCACCAGCGCCGTCAGGTCGTCGAAGGCGTTGCGCTCGATCAGGTTGATCTGCGAGTTCATAATCCAGAGCTTTTTGAGGGATTTGAGCCCGTGGAAGGAGCCGGGTTTGATCTCGGGGAAGTTGTTGCCCGACATCTCCAGCTCCTCCAGGCCCACCAAGGGCGTCAGGTTGGGCATGTCCTTAATGTTGCACATCCCCAGGTTGAGGTACTTGAGGTTGTACAAGCCCTCGAAGGCGCCCTCGGAGATGTACTCGAGCTTCTTGAGCTCGCCCAGGTCGAGGCGCATGAGGGAGGGCACGCGGTTGAAGGCGTAGCTGGGGATGCTCTCGATGGGGTTGTTGCGCAGCCACAGCTCCCGCAGCTTGGACAGGTACTCGAAGGCCCCGCTGGGGATCACCGTCAGCCAGTTGTCGAAGAGCTCCAGGGTGTTGAGGCTGGCCAGGCCGTTGAAGGCGCCCACCTCGATCTGCCGGATGGCGTTCCTGCCCAGCTGCAGCACCTCCAGGTGGTGCAGGTGGCGGAACGTGTCCGCCTGGATCATCTGGATGTTGTTCTCCATGAGGTTGAGATAGCGGGTGTTGGAGGGGATGCCGGGGGGCACCTCGGCCAGGCCGCGGCGGGTGCACACCACCTTGCTGAACTGGTTACTGCAGGAGCACACGGAGGGGCAGCTCTGGGGGCCCGGCGAGGCGGCGGCCGTGGCCAGGAGCCACGCGTGGAGGGTCAGGGAGGCGGCCAGGAGCCCCGGCCAGGTGCGGTGGCGGCGGTGGCGGCGGAGGTGGTGCACAGTTACCTGCCACAAGAGCTTCATGGTGTGGCACGTTCATCATTCACCATCGTCTGGGGATGGCGGCGAGAACAGGAGAACGGGCTCGGGCCCCCCCCTCTCCCGGCTCCCACGAGCTGGGGGGCCCGGCTGGCCGGAGGGGGGGGG